CCCACAAACACCAACCTTCGCCCAAGAGAGCGGTGTTCGTGTCCAGTAAGATTCTAAAGCCAAACTCTGTTCTTTTTTCCTAAACCTAACCATGTGTTTTTTTTTTCCTAAACCCAACCACGTGCATTTGTTGTTTAAGGAAAAAAAAAAAGACAATTCCCGGTGTTGTACCGACATAGTGCGTTTATTTTGAAAGAGACTGTATGCAAACGCTAAATATCCTGTGAAAACAGATGTGAATCTTGAAAGAAGACAATGCATGTAACAGGCTTGACACGTTGTCCCATAATGTCAACAACCAACGCTCCCAGGGTACCTTTCACATCGTATGTGGATGTGGAAAGTCCATGACCGAAACGTCAATATGTGACGAGGTCAGAGTGAGAATGTGCTGGAAATAAAGGGGTAACACAAAGACAAGCACTAACACTTAAACTACACTTCTTTCATAAACTAGGACAAAAAAACAGGACAGTTAGTCCCATTATGAATGTTATAGCCATTAACCAAAACAAAAGCACCAATCTAGTCTAAAGAAATAAACAAAATCTCTGAACTAGAAATCACAATGATGCATAATGTGGCAACTTCTTGGTACGTTCTTATTGGCCAGTTCCTGTATTTAAGAGTTCTGCTTTATGGGGTGCATCTTTTGTTCCAACCTGCCAGGATGTCCCTCCAGCAGCAGCAGCAAACAGCAGCACTAGGCAGATGTGGCCATCACACAGAGCTATGCTCGAAATGGAAGGCAGGACCCTGTACCCTTTGACCAGTCAGATTAAATGCATTTTAAGCAAACCCAAAAAACACACAAAAAAACAAATGTATCTGACAAGCCAAAAACGCCCGTCACCACTGTGCGGCTGCTCATTTCAGTTATTTTTGGAGCGGGCCTACTGTATGGGTAGATTCAGAGGACAAACAACTTGATTTGTTGTTAAGGTGTCAGGATTTGTCACGACTCAATGTGCTCTCTCACCTTGCTGAGTGACACTGCCGTGACTGTGGGTTGCACTTCAGGTTTTGGAAATTAGATTTGCATAAGTGGTCTTGATAATCAAGCGTTAAAACTGATGAAAGCTGTGCCCGTTTTGATTTTGCCCACGGTTGTAATTACTGTGACTCTAAGTGAATACGGCCGTTGGTGATTGTCAAGCACAAAAGTATAATTAAGTCAGAATATACAAAGGGAAGAACAGAAAACTACTGTATCCAAAAGGGAATAAAGAAAGAAAATGTGAAGGGAGCTGGAACTTTTCCAAAACAGTTTTGTGAATACTTTTTCAAGGTACGAATGCTCCGACCTCTGACCTCCTCACTGTTGTCTGCTCACATTTTTTTGTCCATCTAGGAACTGAAACTCATTTGCTTTTGGTCCTTCTGGTTAAAAATGCCAGCCTTGGCTCTTAATACATCCGGTGTCTTCAGCCCTTTTGTACCTCATTTAGTCAGCTGTTGAGATGTGGAAGCATCACCTCAACTAGCCGGCAGCCTCCTGCCCACATTTCCGGGGTGGTTTCAGTCTGTGAGAAGCGTAGAGTCACTCTGAATATCTTGGCAGGGGCTCCAACGTTTATTAACCTGTCGTGTCAGATGCCGTCTGTTCACCCGCCACTAACGCCCGTTTTCCCAGCCACTATGGCTGCCATTAAAGGCTCCGTTTTATGGCTCTTTGATGGCAAAAGCTGGCCTGACACGCAACGCAGCTGTTAAAGTGAGGCTTGTGCCTGATTCGTGGCAGTTGGTGTCGTAATTCATTTTGCATGGGGTCTAAAGAAGGTGTCCTGGTACTGAAACGCTCTGTAACAACTCGAGCTGATTTAATTAGTGCAGAAGTGTAGATGTAGTTGTTAGAGAATGTGTTATTGTTGGTCCACCATCAGCAGTATAATGAGATGTCGGCAGCGGTAGTGTCTCGTTCAGGAGGACTCAGACTCCTGACAGAAATATATCTACATTAACATTGTGTAGTGGAGGTTGAAGAGATGAAGACATTAACCATTTCTTTATTTTTTTGTTTTCTATTTGGGCAGCATTTACCTCCTGATAATCACTTTTCTTGCAGGTCACCTAGTACCTGACCCAATGCAGGACTCTGAGGGAGTTTCAGCTCATTGTTTAGCTGTCCGGCTCACAACTTTACCGCTCCTGTTCACTGGACAGCTCTTACAGTGTCATTTTCGGCCGCAGCATGCAGCCGCACACTACCTGCTGAGCAGCAAACTGCAGACAGACGCAGTTTAACACATGCTGAACATAGTGGAGTATTTAGCAGATAAAGAGCCGGATATCTCTCTTAGGAGGGAAGGGTGGGGACCAAAACAGAGATAATAGAGAGTGAATGTTGGACATGTGCTTGCAGGGTATCTGTGTGTGTGTTTGTGTGACAGCGTAGATTTTGACTGAACTCAGAGCTCTACTTCTTTCTGCTAATAATCTCTAGTTCCTCTTGTTACGGATTTTTAAAGCCTCCAGATAAACTTGAATTTTCCCTCAAACTGAAACATTTTAAACTCAAGCAAATGTGTTTTCTGCTTCATTTCATGTTCCTCTGGACAAATTTTCATTCTCTCTTGCCTCTGCATTGCCAAGTCTCTACTTCCAAAATTTGCTTTGCATTCAGTCTGAACACGCTTTAAATTTATATTTTGTGTGGCGATGTTGTATTGATACACGGACACCAAGTATCAATCTTTCTCTCTCACCTCACACTCCACCATCCAGAGATAGCATTAGCCGCTGAACCAGATAAACATCAGATGAACAGACTGAAAACTTTATCTTGCGTGGTAAAATTGATGTTCACAAAGTTTTCCTTTGGGGAAATAATCTGCAGTTGGGAAAAAAATGAATAAATCGCAATATATTGCAGTATATTGTATCGCAATACTTAGCATATAGCAGTAATATCGTATCACAACCTAAGTATTGTGATAATATCGTATTGTGAGTCTTCTGGTGAATCCCACTGCTGGTATATTATGCATGATTATTGGTCAGTTTTGTAAACACGCTCACCAGCGAAAGTGAAAGTAAAAACCAACTCCAGATTCACTCGTTTGGCATATCGCCTTGCTGTATTTGCGTTCGTCCTGCACTGTGTCTCTTGGATGCCTGCTGTTTTTTATAAAGCCCCAACCTCACCTGAGCACTGTGAGGGTACACGCCAATAAATGTCCCGCACACATAAAATAATAGGAAATTAAGAAAAGACAGGCAGAGGCCAGAGTCTCTGCAGTAAAAAAAACACCAGCACACACTTCAGGTGTGATGATTTAGAGGGATTATTTCTTTATGAGTCTCTCCATTGATTTTCAGAAAAATTCTGCATGACATATCTTACTGAGACTTGTTTCTCCCTTTGAGGACAATTATGTTTAATATTCATTCTGATATCATAGTTTGACTTGAAACTATTCCCAAAACAGTTTTGTGCAAACACATATGACCATGTTAAGCTGTGTAACCTTGTAACTCCAGTTCTAGTGATGTTTATGTTTTCACTCCAGGTGAATGAGGATTACATGCTCCTGACAGACAAACTGAGAAACCTTTAATTTCTGTTCCCATAATAATATTTGTGTATTTACTTTATTTATGCTAACATGTTGGAATTAATTCGGACCTGCAGGTTTTGACAGTAGCAAATTAAAACATTCACACAGCGGCTTATAGCACTAAATATAGAGGATGGGGCACCTCATACTAAAACAGTACATCATATATGTCAACAAGATGTATATGCTAGACAATATAATGAGTTAACTTGATTTTAAAGCCCCTGAAAAGTTTCATGTGTTATATGTGGAATCTCCTTACCTTGTGAGAATGTGAGATACAGGCCTTACAGCTGACAGCGGTGGTGTTCTCCTTCTCATTTTACGAGTGCGTCCTCTGCTCGGGCCCACATCTTGTGGCATCACATCTGGAGCTGCAGTCTGTATTACTCAAATCTTTCAGGAACGTCATCGCTCATCTGCCAAATGCCTCGGTTCATGTTGTGCTTTGCGCGGCGCAGCCATATTTCCGGTAACATTTTGTTCCGCTACCCCATCTGGTGTTGGCGCCTGCTGCTCTGTTCTGATGCCAAAAAGCTGTGTTTGGCTGCATGTTAAGCATAAGAAACAGACGTGAATGCCCAAGCAGCTCATCAAACTTGTCCTTTTGTATACTTGCTGAAATGCAGGAGAGATGTTTTTTTTTTTTTTTTTGCTTTGTTACTGATGCTGTTACTCTTCATTTGCCAGTGAATGCACAGGAGTGTCTGGCTGACATTGGTGCTGAGACAGTTTGACAGCTAGGTAATAAAAATGTTACCCAGAAGAAAAGAGACACAAATGCCCAAACTGCTCATCAATCTGTCCTCTTGTGCACTTGTTTCAGCAGAGAAGACAAATAGTTTTTGTCAGTGATACAGAATATGATAGTTAAATCAAATGAGGACGATTGATGCACAATGCAACCAATGAAGCTCGGTACATTTAAGATGAATCAGGTGACACAAAGTAGAGCGAGTGTTATCCATTCAGCTTTAACAGTAGTTGCTGCATGCAAGTGTTGGTGATATAAATACCAGAGAGCACTCACTCTGAACTGTGCTGGTTAACAGTTTCAGGTACAGTGAATTTCCAATTAGCTCATCAAGCCCGTACAACTGAACTGTGGCAGGAGGAGGAGAGAGAAATGCTTTCTGCTTAGTCACTGAAACAGCCAGCCGCTCACCAGAGTCTCTGAGGACGTGCCGCTGTTGCCTTGTCTCCTCTGCTAATGAGTGACCTAATGAGTTTAGGGAAATTACAGCACGCTCAGCAATTTCTCGCCCTTCTTTCCTACTTACTGCATCTCAGCTGGACTTTTTTCAGGTGTAAAACTCACTTTCTGAGAACTTCACTGCAGTGTAGTTCAATTGAGAATACGTTCTTTTCCATTTGAGACATGCAGGTATAGACCTTCCTCCTCTGTGGTGTGGTTCTAAAGGTTCTCTGTGTTTCTGTCTGTAGGTTTGACCTGGGAAGATGACACCACCCAGCAGTTTCTGTCCAAGGAGTTATCCAAATTGAGGAGGATTCCCCTCAGGTCACAGCAGAATGGAGCTGTCTACAACCCTGACAGCAGGTCAGATATTTACCCAGTTTACCCATTAGTAGCTCTGGACCATTGGGTTCTGTTGAGATGTGCCACTGCCCCATTATGGTCCATGAGTGTTAGGGGAGCCTTATGTTGCTCTTTGGTGGGTCTAATGCAAGTCGGACAGGTTCACAACAATAAAGACAGACTTATTTTAAACCTAACAAGTTAGCCACCCTATCCCCAGGTTAAGTCAAAACTAAGAGCCATGTTCAAATGTTTCGTTGGTGCACCTGAGGCCTTTAATATGAGGTAAGCAAGGTAACTTTAGGTTTAACCCCGTGTTTTCAGAGGTACAGTGGTGGTTCACTTCTTACCAGGGTACATCACCTTGGTAACATTAGCCGCGTTTCCACCAAACACTTACAGTACCCTAAGATCCATACATAATCCATACGGATATTTTCCTGAATCATACATCCTTGTTGCAGTTCTATTGCAGATGGTACTCTTAATCTAGGCAGGGTTGTTACCAGATGGTAATAGCCATCCAGCTCTTACTGTATTTCTTCTTAACTGATGATGTAGAGGAACATCTGCACCTCCACCGAACAGGGTTGCACAACTATTTCAGAACAAAAAAGAACAGACTGGGTTTTTTTTTTGTTCGTTTTTTTTTGGATCAATTTTTTATTTTATTTTATTTTCAAGTGGACTGGCGATAAAATAATGTTGTACAGCATAGTTGCAATATACACATACAATATATCCATTAAATCCATAAGTAAATCAATAAAACCATCTTTCAACAACATCATCAGCAACATCCGTTGGCCTTATCTGTTGTTATTCACCTGAGCTTAAACCCTGTGATCCGAAGCTGCTATCTCATTCTAAACCCTAAACCACATGTCTTAAAGGTAACACAGAATATAGTACAACAACTACAAAAAAAAAAGAACAGACTGTTGAGAGCAGAGCAACACTCCAACCTCCAGATTTTATATGAGGGATATAGATTCTCTTTGGAAAGTAGCTGCCACTTCCACAAGTGTCTGATGAAACAGCCCCTTCCACCCCTTACATTAAGGGGCACCCTTTATTATTGCAGAGGGTGGGTATTTGTTCACAAGTCTGTTTGACACCATCAGGTTGCAGCTGAAAGAGTAAGACTAAAATAGAATACATCTAAACAACACATTAATTTAATGGAATACAAATACATTAATAGTTGGATCTACTTGTGGCAGTGATATTATAAGCCGAGTTACTTCAGCATTCACACAGTCTGTAATTTTTTTGTCAGCTGTCTTTCTTGCATTTGAAGCTGTTAGCCTGATTATGTGTTTAAGTTCTTTGTTGTCTACTTTTTCATATTGCACTTTGTTTGTAAAGTATGCTGCCCTGCTGCCAGTAGATTTGTCCATGTGTACGCATGACCATATGCTACAGCATTGCCCCTTTCATGTGAATGCGCTTACTGCTAGATTGGGATTATGGTTGTTAGGTTTATTGAAGACAGATTACCAAAAGATATCCTGGGTATGTTGAACTTGCATCGTATTACAGGCCTCTGCGTACCAGACAAAATGACAAATGACAAAAAAGAGGAAAACATGGCTCATGACTTGTGGTTTGCTAAAAATATTGTGAAGCTATAACAAAAGAAAGCGGTTTTGGAGAGCACAGTAACGTGTTGGAAATACACAGCAGTGTATATTAATTAAATTGTGTGATGGCTGTACTGGTGTACAGTCATACAGTGATGTGCACTTTCCTTCCTGTTTCTCTCCCACAGGCCTGCAGCTGAAGCGATGGACCCAGTAGACCAGAGGGTGAAGCCGGTGGAGGTGGAGCTCAGCAGAAATCTGCAGATGTACCTCCAACGTCTCGGCCTCCTTCCCAAGACGTCGTCTGCCTCCGGTCTGAGCACCCCTGACAAGGTGAGGGATATCTGGATGATACGTTTGCCTCTATTGGATCTCTGTGAGTCTCTGTGTTGTGGTATTGCAGGCTTTTTGTTTTATCAGTTTTTTATCACAATATATTGATACTGTTTGGCATATATAATATTAAATTTATATGCAGCCAATTATTTTAATATTATTCACAAAAAAAAATGTAATACCACCATAGTATTTCTTTATCACCTCAGTTTTAACTAGATTTCTGCACTGTTTTTACGTTTATGATTAAGATCTGACCAATTCAACTTTTTATTCACAAGTGTTTATTAAACATTTTCTGAATATAAAGCATTCAACACTCAGCGGTAGTTGTTAAAGGATGAGTAGGATTGAATTGTAAAATTTTAACACTATTGTATGTTCTTCAAGCACAACACCAGGGATTCAATGTTTTATGCAGAAACACACTTTTCACACAAATGTATTAAATTTAAAGATTACAAAACATCAAGAGACTAAGTTTTATAGCTTATCGCTAATAGCTTCAAAACAAAATGTGGCATTTTTCCTTATTGTACTAAATATAGTCATTCTTTTGGCTCAAATGGGTGTTGTGGGCAAGGCTGTAAATCAGTGAGCAAGACTGTTTTGTGGCAGTTCATAGGTATTTAATTCAATGGATTTGCCAGAAATTCAAATTCCTATCTGTTTATTTTATCCATTAATGACTGATTATAGTACAGTAAATTGAATAATATTATATTATATTGTGCCTTCATGATGTACAGGGATACAGTTAAGTTTTTATCCATGTTGTTCTATACTGCCAATGATGCATAACCATGTAAAAACGTATGATTGACGATCAGTAAGCTTTTATAAACTTCAGCTCCTGTTGCTTCCTGTTTCAAATTTGAGAGGGCGAAGAGCAGGTGGGGCATTTGTTTTTACCCCAGCGTCTGCATGTTGCCCCACCCTCCTCTCACAGCCACCTGCCTCTGTTGAAAAAGAAAGTGCTTACACATACACATGCAGTACACACTCACACACACTCAACCAGCAACTCCCCAGCCATACAAAAACTCACACAAACCCACGCACCTTCACAACGGGGGGTCTGGTGTCATCTTTCGTTGTCACTCTGCTCTCGCTTCCCCATCCTAACTGATGGCTTCTCCCAGCATGACCGTTATGAGCTGAATAATACCAGCTGAGAGTTCAGGAGTTCACCGCTCTAATTAATAACTCTCCACGTGACTGGTTCCTCCACCGTGTCCGCCGCTCAGAGTGAGGGGAGCGGAGCGCGGCTGAATGGCAGAGGCCTTCCTCCCGTTGGGGGGATTGTACCTCACAGAGCACGATGGCGTGGAGCCTGCAGGCGTCGCTCCGGGCTCGTGGCCTTTTCTCCCCAGGTTCACGTGTTTGGTGGAAGCGAAAAGGAGCAGCATGACTGAAGGGGTCCCCGAGGGCACAAGTGGAATAAACTGCACCGACTGCGTGACATAGATGAATAAAGATACAGACAGTGACAAATACCAGAAGGGGCCTCGCACATACAAATCATAAAGAAGTATGAGGGCTGTGAGGAGCTTTACTGTCTATGTTGCTATTGTTATGATAATTTTACCGTTAGTCAGGCTTGTGCCATTTCTGTGCTCCCAGGTGGGCGTTAATGGAGCCGGCAGTGACAATTTGCCTTTGTTGTTGCTGATGGATTTGTTAATATGATTGCATAAATGGATTAATAACTTGTTTTTCCAAAATGGGCTTTATTTCCATGTCAATAATCATTTTGTTGAGATGTTGGATGAAAGTCATTAATATTAAAACAAAATATGGCTCCTTTATAAAAATGCTGTGACTAAATCAAGTGGGAGCACATATTGTTTCCCCCCAGTTTACATATATGCACATGTCTATTCTCTTTTAAATCTGTAGTACAGTTTTTAGTTAACAAACTACCCTCTGCACCCTTCTGTGTGCCAGCTCTGGTAGTTACCAGCTAAGCTTTGCAATGTACCCCGGTTTTAACAGATCTGGGAAAAACGCACCTTGGACATAGAACAATCTCCAAAAAACCCCTAAAATTAGAAACACTTATATCCATCAGTGAATTTGAGGGCATCATAAAGAATGTGTTGACAGAGACATGTGCTTGTTTTTCTTGAGAGGCTACTATGTCTGAATTATTTTGGATGTTAGTATTATATGTTGTATTTGTTGCATTTTAAATGTGTTTTGATTGGCTGCTACCTTGGCCTGGTCTCTCGTAAAAAAAAAAAAAAAAATCTCAATGGGACTTCCTGGTTAAATAAAGGTTGAATAAATGTTAATCCTACCAACCTTCCCTCATCCTTATACATCTTAAAATTTGTTTTTGTATATCTTTTTTTAATTGAATTATATTAATTTACAGAATAAATTGTCACATCTCTTGGTATATTAAATACATAAACCTTACATATGATATATATTTTTTAAAAATCTACATCTATTTTTTTGACTAGGCGTTATATTTTGACCAGTAGTATTTGTAAGAAATTTAGAAATGGAGCACAAACACAATATAATGTCGTAAAATAGCAGAGTAACCCAAAGCCACTCTGGCAGGATGACTTTGCATCGTTTTACCTCAGCAACATCTTTTGCATTCACATGCATATCATATCTACACTCATTATTTAAGGACTGTATTTAGACAGTGACATGTCAGGAAACAAGGGGAGAAAGATGGGGAATGACAAGCAACAAGGCCATACTTAAACCAGGCTTGTTGCGATTCATAGTCAGTATCTTAAACCCCTTGGCCAACAACAGTGCCAATAAAACATCAGATCTGTGTCGCATGAATCAGGATGTAATAATAACATAACCATACAGTTATGTTTACTGCTTAGGTTTTGAATGACTACATTTGGTTAAATGAACTCTATGTGATTATACATGCCTTTCTTGTTTCTTTCAGAGTGATCGTTTCCAGTCAGGCATCCCTGCAGACTTTTATCGCTCCAAGGCCCAGATTTCGGCTCAGAAGTCGTCTCCCTCCAGCTTTTCCTCTCTTTCATCTTTCTTACCTCTGCAGAAGCAGAGACCTCCAGCTGACCAGCTCCTTGCCACGCAAGCAGAGGGCGACCTTCTCCTTGGCGCCCTGAGGCAGTATCTCTCCGGGCATCTGTCCCTCCATGGCGTGGAGATGAGCCCCGAGGAGCAGGCGGGCCCCTCGCCCCGCCTGAGGCCCCTCTACAGCGACGGAATAGAAAACTCTGGGCTCAAAAAGGAGACCTCAAAATCCAGGCTTCTGAAGTTGGGAAGAACTCAAGGGGATTCAGTCAAGGACCCTCTGACGTCTGTGGATGGTATGTGTGTTAAAGTGCACCATGATGGATTTCAAGCTCAGAAAATCATTAAGCAAAAGACAAAATAGAACATTTGTTGGTGCCTTCCAAAACAACTGATATTACAGTTACGGAATGACTTAAATGGGTGTTTCCTGATATGCTACCTCTATGATTAAGCTATGGTCAGGTTTAGGTCAATAAAAATCTTCTGAGTAAAAGTAGAATTCATGTTACAAAGTTATACCCAACATGTGTTTGATTTGTTAACACATTTTGTTACCAGATGTCATGCATCTGCCTGCCTGACTGTTGAAAAATAAAGCTTGTAGCTACCGTGATGTTACAAATTGGTTTATGAACCACCATTTTGAAACCTTGAGTTTGGCATTTTGACTGTCTTTGACGGTTTTTTTTTTTTTTTTTTTTTGAGCCAGAAGTAACTATATTTGAATGACAGGGTGGAGCTAGCCCTAACATTAGCTATTAGCCTGGTTAGCACGATGCATTTACAGTCTATGATCAATAATGCTAATGCTAGTTTTTGCTAGTATTCAGTGGGAAAACAGAATACCCAACAGATGGTCTCAGCTAAATGCTGAGTGAGATCTTTTAGGCGACCAAAATGTTGCAGTTCACTTTCATGAACTGAAAACTCACTGAAATAGTGACAGCTGCAGCTACGCCTATTCTCTGTGAATCTGAGGATATGCCATGGTTGCAATTACCTAACTAACTTTGCCTCCATGGTGGCCATTTGTTAACAGACAACACCCATGTGTCAGTCAAAGGGCCGCACCCTTAATTATACATAATTTTAAGCCTTAATAAAATATAAATGGGAGAGTTATATAAAAATTCATCCCCGCACACTTGTCATGAGTAGGAAAATTAGTTACAATGACCAGAAGTGTTTTTTGTTCCAGGCTGTAAACATGTTTATTTTTCGCTGTTAAGTTGTATGTATCTATTGTATCTATTGGGATTGACTTGCTCAGCCAGCCTCAAGTGGCCATTTGAGGAACTGCAGTTTTTGGCACTTATATATCTATACCAGTGAAGCAGTATTGCTGAAATGAATGAGGCGGCTGGATTTTTGACATGGTGCTATTGTCATTCAGATTACGGCCCATAACTTTTTGTGGCAGGAGCAACATCATGCTCCTTCTGTGTATGGACATTTTATGACATTATGGTCATTTTTTGCATGATTAAAAACATAATCATAGGTTGTTGACAAAACAGTCCCACCACAAGGTCCATTTAATGGCTCTTTGGGAGCTTTCAATCACATCACACTATCTGGTAGGTAATTGGAGCTACAGATTTTTCTGATATGAACTTTCAGTCTAAAGTAAACATTTTAAGCATTTCACAAACAACCAATAGTGTTCCTGCTTTTCAAGTTAAGACTGTCTTTGTTGCCGTATGGTGTAGCCTACTCTCCCTGCGTCCTGTAGCAGACACGGGTGGGGGTCGGCCTGCTCTGTGGCTGCGTGGGGATCCGAGGCAGAGCCTTCACTTCTCTTCCTCCCTTTATTTTTATTTATCCCCCCTTTGTTTAATTATTTGTTTATTATTATCATTATGACGATGATGATGATGGCGATGATGATGATGATGATAATGATTATTATTGTGTGTGTATGTATATGTGTGTATGTATATATACTTTTATTATTTTCATTACTATTATGATTATTATTATTATTCATTTATTTATTTATTTTTCTATTTACTTAATTTAATTCATTTGTTTGTTTATTTTCTCTTTCGCCTCCCCCCCTTCAATGCCTATGATGGTGATGTTGTTGTTAATTATTACTTCTTTTTATTATCATCATTAGTATCATTACTACTATTATTATGTATGTCGTTGTCACCATTTATATTTGTCGTTCATTAGTTACAACACACGCACACACCCACGCACTCACACACCCAGTCATTAATTGTTGTTTCGTCATGTCATATGTCTCTTTATGTATGTATGTAGCCTTATTTCAAGTGTCCTTACATGTATCTTGTCTTGTTTCACAATTAAAAAAAAAAAAAAAGCAATTAAGCTGTAAAGTGTTGGTGCAATTTTTCTCTGAATAACTTGCAATGCTGCTCGTCAAGACCCACATACAGTAGACAAAGTGTCCCCCGAAGCAGGAAAGTTATCTTGCTATGTTTTCTAAAAGAAGAAGAAAAAAAAAAGACTGTCTTTGTTTGACTCACTGTTCTCTCACCTCTGTGTCTCCTCCAGAGAGGTTCATCGAGAATGTTTTGAAGAATGTCGTCAGGCAACATGTGGACGTGGATGGCTTGACGCCTCAGGATTTGGGCCAGCTGTCCAGTCTGATAGCTGATGCTCTGCAGGTGGTTGACCATGACCAGAATCTAAACAGAGGCCTCACCCACGTTAGACCTGGACCAAGAGACTTGGAGGGAGAGCTGGAACAAGAGGAGGAGGCTGCCAGGGATGAGGAAGACGAGAAGTTACTCGAGAGCGCTCCAACACTGAAACCACAGGAGAGTACTCCTATTATGCCGGCAGCACTTCAAGGTGATTTTGTAGTGATTCATTTTGTGTTCTTAATGCAATGACATTGTTGAGAAAAAGCTGGAGAGCCTAAAGTACACATATAATTGTTTGGGTAGGATTAAACAAAGGAGCTTGCCTCAAGAGTGCAACATTAACATCAATGTGAAAATAAATAGACACCCTGTAGCTCAGTATAAACACAGCCACTTTTAGTGGTTCAGTGTCCATTGAGACCACTCTGGCTAAAAAAGGTTTATGCTCCAAGTAAAAATGCTCAACAAATAGCTTGAAAATGGCGAGAAATTATGAACCATATGGCAATGTGTGGCTTGGCTTGGAACCTGCAGACATATTATTTCTGTGGATTCTCTTTTTTGTGTCAAGTACAGAAAAAAATCTGATGTCCACAAGAGCAAATTCCCCACCAAAATTAAGTATGTAGAATTAATTTGCAATTTAAAAACGTCCTTGAAATTTGGAAAGGTGGCTTTAAGCTTTTCGTGCACATTTTTACCTCTGTGCAGTTAACCTCACAGTTTCTTTTGCTCGCTTACCATTTTTCTCACTGATGAACACAAAAATGTCTGAATACATTTATTCTCTTTGTCCCAACAGAGCGTCACGCGGATACGGAGGAGCATAATGTGAAGGACGAGGTAAGTAGTAGTTTGTGGTGAGCAAAAAAAGAAAAATGTTAAATGTCAGAGGGAAGGCTGACATTATCAGCAATTATGTAGTATTCTGCCAGGAAAAGGAAATGAACCCTACAGCCTGCAGTATTCAAAATATCTTGAAATTGTGTTTGACATTAGCTACTGTACAAAAGGTGAAGTGACTGTCCTGAGAATTTAATAGGAACTCAGTATTCTTGTGAGAAACTGACTTACAAAATACAGTTGAATGGAAAGTATATTAAGTCTAGTTTTCATAAAGTTTTGGGACTTTTGCACAGAGACTTACTTGAAGAATCCTCTAATGGTAGCACAAACACACACACCTAATGATGATTTGTGAAAATGTAATCACTAGGGTTGGGAATCTCTCTGTGATAGACGATTCGATACATATCTAGATACACGGGTTACGATACGATTCAAAAACAATATATTTTTAATACAGAACGATTCAATACGATTCAATACAGCGTAGGAACGATACAATTCGATGTGATTCGATACGATTCTATGGTTAACATTTGTTGATGTAGACATTAATCATACATTATAAAATAAAGAAGCCAATTCTAGAAAAGTGACATTCTTACAGTATTTTCAAATTTGTAAAAGACCACATCCCCAAGCATTGTTGCTGTATGGCACTGGCAAAAATAAAATAAAAAGTCAAACAACAACAAAATCACATGTCAAATGTATTTATTTTTAGACATG